TTATTGTTTTTTTAATTTTGTTATCAGTTATCATGAATATAAAAGCACGATAATATATTGTAATGTTTTTTTTTTTCAAACTGGAAACACTGTATTTTGTCTTTCTGATTGCTTCGTATTGCAACGGCTATAGCGTCCCCCTGATTCATACCAAATAATCAATTTGCATACCTGTAGGATCTTGGCCATTACGCTATTTATTTGATATAACTTTTAGTGCTGGGTTGATGCTAGATGATGATGAAGTTGTTTTACTATTTTGAGTAGATGACTGACGGGTATTTTTAGTCACCTGTATAACAGGAGATGAATGAATAGGTTGTAGATTTGAAATAGATTGTGAATTTTCAAAAGAAGAATCAGGAGGAATATTAATAATAATAGGATTATTTTGAATTTGTTGATTTACCTCTAATACTGGAACCATTATGTCATTCATTATCAACACATGGCCAATTTATGTCTAGAAAATCATTACCATCTATATCTAAACAATTCAAATTGTTATCAACACAAATTTCGTCAACATCCCTATCTTCTAGTTCATCTTCAGATCCACTAGGTAAATCCAAAAACAAAAGATTTTCTATTGAGCTATCAGACAGATTTTTGGCCATTACAAACAATTATTTTGTAATTAATATAGTAAGAAAAGGTCCAAAAATAGTATAAAAATGAAATTTATAAACGAAAATAAATTATAAACGAAACAATTATTGAACTAATGTTGTTCTACTATTGTAACTAACAACTAGAATACTGAATAATATTACAATAAAAATATAACATTGTAGCCTGTAGTTTACCACGCAAGGCCAAAACGCCATCAATAACAAAACGTACTAGATCCACACCGTGTAGCACATGTGCAACACATGGAATACGTCGATTATTTACTTTACCAACACTCAAAACGTCAAAACGTCATATTGTCTACATATTTAACATGATAAGTACGTGGAAGAAATATTTTTTCATTGGTCTGATAACAAAAGTAACGTAGAAAACATACAATAATAACAGCTGTTTTCAGACTATGCTACTATAGACGACTGCCAACTTTTATACACTAAATAAACAACTAAATATAGTCATATTATTGAAAAAATAAGTTTATACCAATACTATGATGTATGTAGATTAGTAATATACACATTTTATGCCATACAATGTATGCCCAACTTATTAAATATCCGCATTAATGTGTTGTAGCAGATCTGCTACTATATGCAGTGAAGGGCTAAGTTAATCTCTGAGTAATATTTTTTATAAGCGTTTTAAGTTCAAATATTGACAAAAGTAGTAGAACTACTAGTATAGAATAATAAATTTATAGATTTATAATTTTTTGTTTAACATAGTACATTATAATAATTTTTATCTTTTTATAACAAATAAATAAATATAATTTTTAGAATCGAAACTATACCGTGATAGAGTTGCAAGGCATGTGAGTTGGAATCGAGTAGCTACATCTACTATCAATAACTTCGACAGTCTTGAAGAAGAAGACAAAAGATCAAAAAGTAAAATGAAACATACCGTAGAGATAAAACCTGTAGAGCTCAGTAAAAGACCAATTTGGCTAAAAATAATTGCATAATTAATATTGAACCAGTTTTTCTTTTAAAAGCAAATACCTACATTTTGTAATGGGTAGTAAATAATATTAAATGTAATATTTAAAAAATATTTATAGTCATTGTGTAATATAGGTACTGGATGATTTTCCAAGTATTGATGTAGTTTACTCCTTTATTATCCTTAAATTGTATTTATTTATTATTAGCTATTAATTAAAATTCTTATTTTTGGAATTTTTAAATATATACTCAAAAGCCCTAATATAAACAATACTTAGATTTTTACAATCATTTTTATGAGTATCCGCTGTGAAGATACAAACTTTTTTTCTTTTGAAAAACATCCATTTGTTCTTGTAAATTGTTGCTTGAATATTCGAATAGTTAAGAGGATGTCTGAGCAGTTTCTCTTTTCTCTCTATGACTCGCCTTCCGCATGCAACAAGCAATTAGTGCACTGCATGCTCTTGTTGCATCTTAATCCATATTAAAATAAGTATGAGATTAATTTTATGAATACTTAGCATAAGTTAATATATATAGCTATATTTTTATAAAACTATATTATATATTGAGTTATCATACATTATGTATTTACAGTTGTTGAATTGCAAAAGAAGTGGAAGTCGTTTAGGGACACCTTCCGCAGGAAATATATTAGCAAGTCAGGTCAGGCAGTTGGAAAATCAAACACATACGCGTATTCACGAATACTTGAGTTTTTAAGACCTACCATGAAAAATAGAATGTGAGTATAAGTTGACTATTGATTACTAATTTATTTGAGTTAGTTAAATAGATTCAAAGTTACAAACGTAAGCCATAAATCAATAGTTAATAAACAGTATAGATGTATAATTAATTAAAAGCTAATATGGAAAAAAATATTAACTTAATTCTGTTGAATAAAAATGCTTTCATTTAATTTTTAAATACCACCTTGTTCATACATTTAGTGATTGTGCAACTTTCAATTTTTATACAATAAATTTAAACAAAATATTATTTTAAATGTATCCTTTGCTATTTATTCTGGTTACACTTTAGCTGCAGTTTTGGTATATTTTAACTAACTAAATATTAAATAAGGTATATTTATTAAGTTAAATGGAAATTAACTAATTAGTTAAGTTAAAACTTAAAATGTTAAACACAAGTTAACTGTTCAACTTATTTTAATTTTAATAAAATAGTGTACTTCTTTGCTAATTAGTAAATATTTTGTTTAGGACTGGAAGTTACATATACCATAGCAATAAAAACGATGAAGATGTAGGTTTTGATGAAATTGATGAAGATATTGCAGTTACAGAAATGGGCCTTAAAAGTAAAAATACAGCCAATAACAACGAGGAAGAAACAATCAGTCGACATCAGTTAAGAAAAAAAAAGTGGTGAAAAACCAGCATTTGAAGACGATCTTATTCAAGTATTAAATAACCGTCAAAAGGTCGATGCTGATACATCATTTGCTCTGTCCATAGTTCCACTCATAAAAAATTTAAACGATGAACAAAAAACACAAGTGTACATAGATATTCTAAGAAGTATTCAAGAAGTTAAAGAACCCAAAAATTCGGACATTCAAATGACTTCTCAAATATTTGCATCTCAACCTTCAAATTCTATCCAACCTTACATATTTCCACATACTTATGACCACCATTCAAATCCCACATACCCAAATATACCTCAATCTTATGTAACTTCACCAGCCTTTCACCCAAACGTCCCAAACAACTCTATACATTATAATAACGCACATTTCAATCCCATAACCCCTACATATTATCCTAAGACTTCTACATCTAATCCATCCAATACTTCTACACCTACCTTTCCATCAAATACTTCTGGTTGTGAAACTCAAAATTGAAACATATCAAAACCACTTTAGCTTCTTTATACACTTTTTTATTTAAACATTAAGAAATATACTAATGAAGTATTTTTTTATATAATTTAATAATAATAAAAAATGTACTACATTGAAGGATCAAGGTATTACTATTATTATTTGTTTTTTATTTTTATTTTATTGTATTTAATATTACATCTATGACTGAAGATAAAGTTTTTTATTATATATTTTAACAATACTTAAAATGTTAAGGATATTTTACTATCAATTTAATACCACTAAGGTTTTGTGGGCATACTATTATTATAAAGTCTTTGATAAAACTGTTTTTTACATAATTACATTACTTTATTTTATTATTTCCAACTTTTCCTCCCCAGAACTTTGAAAAAAATACTTACTGCTTTATAGATGTTGTTGGTTGTTCATCAGTGAGTTAAGTACAAGAAATTATAAAAGACACAAATAATAGGTAGTACAGTATTCATATAATACATATTCAAATTGTAACAATACTAATAAGGAATAACAAACATGTACCTATATCATAATAAACATACAATGTATATGTTGCCGCCGCAACATAAAGGCGTTACGAAGCAATAAAGTACCTACCTAATCAAAAATGAGAACATATGCCCGCTTGCCCGCTTGATGGGAAGTCGGACGACAAAACGTCCCTCTTCATCACGAGTTGTGTATTGCTTAAAATGTTGGACTGTTTCCTGCTCTTCTTGACTTCTCTTGTTCGCCTTCGATGTCCTTCCGTAGCTGGGTGCGACTCGTTTGCGCACATTTACCTTTTTTACAACACGTTTGCGCACAAAATCACAACTCGTTTGCGCACACATATTTTAGGTTTAAATAATGATTTTAATATTACAAAAATTAAAATATATTAAAAAACATGCATTGTAGGTTTAATAAGTAATAATAGTAGTCTATTAGTTATAAAATTATACTAATTTAGAATGGTGACATTTAAGTCCGATTTTCTTCATATAAGTTAAACGATTAATAATATTATTTTTATATTCATTCCAAATGTTTTCCAATTGTATCTCCTTATTAATTGTCTCTTTTCTTTTGAAATTTATGATTTTATTGTTTATCGAATTAATTTTTAAATCAGTGTCACTTTGAATTCCAATAATGACGTCGATTACTTGATGTATGTGCGGATGAGCAGTGTAAAACTGACTATTATATTGTTTGTGATAACTCTCGGCACCATTAGTAGTCTTAGGATTATTAGTAGGTTCACAAGCCCATAATGTTGGAGGGAAATTGCTGTCCGATGTTATGTAATNAGCACTTATGGAACAATTTTTATTTGTACACCTAAAATTTTTATCACCAGATTTTAAAGTTCGGAATTCTCTAAATTTATAATTTTCTATGTTTAAACATTTTTTTCCTCGACACGTTTCAAAAACATCACAAATTTCGATATCCATAGTCAATATAGTCAGTTGTTATAGTACAGCTTTCTGGCGAACGACTGTTTAAATTCAATTACTTTAGGTAAGTCCAAATTTAAAAATATAAAATATATGTTACTCAGTGTTTATGTTGTGCGCAAACGAGTCGTCCGTTACAGGTAAACGACTGATTTCGTTGTGCGCAAACGAGTCATCGATATCTAGGTAAAAAATGTAGATTGTGCGCAAACGAGTTGCACCGCCGTAGCTTGCATCCTCAATGCTACTGAGAACCTTCCAATCTTCCTCTATCGTTTGGCCCATTGAAATAAGTGTTGGTGAATGATGGTTAGAAAGTTCTCCCGTCACAAGCCATCCGAAGTTGCTCTCATATAGGGTTACTGAGCCTATGTTAAGTGGTATTTTTCTTGTTCCCAAAACATCAAAGAACGAACCACCTCCAATAAGCAGATCAATACCTTGAGGGTGGTGGAAGTCCGGGTCAGCTAGACATGTAGACACAAACTCTGGTATACCCCATCCATCTGCCGGCTCTGGGCAAGACGCCAACTCCCCTACGATATTCGGCAGTACATAGCAAGAAATCGTAATACTGAATTCACTCGTTCTTGATTCAATTTTCAATTCACTACACGACCTTGCTCTTAAACGATTATCTCCAATACCACTTATTGGCAAAGAAGACTTCTTGCATGAAAGCTGTAGTAGGTTTGCGTATCTTTTCGAAACAAAGTTGACCTGGGAGCCGCTATCCAAAATGGCTCTGCACTGGCGATGTCCACCAAATTTATCTTGCACCGTGACTAAAGCTGTTGCGAGAAATACGTGTGCATTTCCCATGGTGATTTCTGCTGGTACTGGCGCTGATACTAGGATTCCGGAAGTAGCCGGTGTTTGACCCTTATCCGGTTGTTGCCCTTGTTGCAGCTCTTTCTCTTCTATTTTTTCCTTCCTTTCAAAGTGCAATAATGAATGATGGTTACGGTTACACATTCGACACCTGTAAGTGGATCTACAGACATTTGCCATATGCCCCGGAGACAAACAATTGAAACATATTCCCTTCCCCTGGACGAATGATAGGCGTGTATTTACCGGGACTGCCTTGAACTCCTCACAACTATATAGTTTATGCGGTTTAGTACAGTATTGACAGGAGGCTGCATCAGCAGCTGCTACTAAAGCTCGCTTCGCTTCGGTTGAGGAGTTTTTGACACTGGTTCTCTTTGCTGTTTCCCCGCCCACATTAGCTTTGATATCTCTTTTTAGTCCAGAAGTTGCTTGTGAAGACTCATAGGCTACACACCGACTAGATAAGAAATTCTCCAGATCACAGTACTTGGGAAGTTGAGTGTTTTGCTGCCTTAGTTGCCAGCCATGACTAGTGGCCGGATCCAAGCGGCTGACGATTATAGTCACTAGCCACGCGTCCCAATGCTCCGTTGGCTGATTTAGCACTCTTAGTGCTGCAACATGAGCACTTACATGAGCATGTAATGCTTGAAGATCTTTAGCTGTCGGCTGTTCTACATATGGTGATTCCAGAAGGGAACGAATGTGTGATTGAATGACAAGACTGCGATTGTCATACCGTTGTTTCAGACGTTATATTGCAACTTCATAGTTCGCATCTGTCATTGGAATTGACTTGATGAGGTCTAACGCAGGGCCACTGATGCTTGACCGGAGATAGTAGAATTTTTGGGCTGGTGAAAATCCACCATCGTCATGTATCATAGCACGGAAACAATCGAAAAAGGACTCCCAATCCTGGATATCGCCGTCAAATGCTGGTAACGTAATGATGGGTAATTGAGCACGGCTGTGACCTGCCGACATATTAAAGGTTGAGTTGTGGCAACTTGTGTTGACACTTTTCTTGGCATTTACTATTTCTTGAATATTCGAACGAACATTGAAATAGTCAGATTCAAACTTATCCCGTTCTTCTTCCTCCTTGTCCAAATCATCGACAACAATTAATTCTAGTTGAGTTTGTATGTCGTCAAATTTTTGGTTTAGACGCGGCAGCTCTTCTTGGCGGAATTCTAACAGAGATATCGCGTCAATTGTTGGATCGAATCCCTCAACAAAGTTTTTCATTCGTGTTAAAGCCGCTTTAATGATACCACGTTTTTTTCTGAGGTCCTTGACCTGGCCTAACATAACATCATCTAACACCATGATTGCGATAAATAATTAACTTCAACGATGTTTATATTTAATAATTGAGACTAATGTGATTTCAATCTGACTAATAAACAATTTAATTACAAACAAAACCTATCTCAGCTGTAAAATTCACAAATAATAAAACACAACAATATAAATAGAAAAAAATCACGTCGAGGTCACCAAAATGGACGGGCCGGTAGCATGTAATAATAACTTGCGCACCCCGGACACCTAATTGTTCACCACTAACACCTAGGACAGGTCTAGAATATGCGAGGACTAGCTGGGTGTGTAGTGGTGTAATAGCTCGAACAGCAGTGGTCGGGGTTGCCGGGCAAATGCTGTCGAGCTATGTAGTGCGTGTTGTGTAATTATGTGTATTTGTGTATAAATATGTGTATGTGTGTAGGTGTGTATACAATCAAACAAATAGGTAATAAAAAATGGTAACACGATTGCTGGTAATAAGTTGCTGTTGCTGTATAATACACAAGAATAATAATAATGACACAAATATATATATAATATCACAGCAACACAGATAGGTGGGCAACACAGGTATAAAAATATAATATAAATAATAATAATAATAAATGTACGGCCCTTATGGCACGACCGAATATAATAATAATTGTACGGCCCTTATGGCTCGACAGAATATAATAAATTGACCAGCTATTTAAGCTGTTAGCTCGTATTAAGGTATATTATTATGTGCAGCTATTTGAGCTGTAGGTATACAAATTCTTAAGTAAAATAATAATATTACAATAATATGTAGTCCTTATGACTAATCAGAATAATGATAAAATAATAATACTATGCAGCCCTTCTGGCACAACAAAATAATAATTATAATACGAAATGGCCCTTCTGGCCCAACAAAAAAAGGATTATAATATTGTTACCGGTAGCTATTAGAGCTGTCTAAATGATTATAATATAAAAATGATAGTAAAATATATGACCCTTCCGACACAAGTATTCGAATAAGTAATACGTAAATATAATAATAGTAATAAGAGTAACTCACAAATTGTGAAGCGCAGACTGGCCAGCTGGTCTCATACCTATGCTAGAATAATAATGTATAAAAAAAAGGAAACAACATTGGTAATATGCGCCGGGTAATAATAATAATAATATAAAAAGAACAAATTATATAATAATAATATGGCGATTTGCGCAGCAGGACTTAAAATAAATTGAGCTACAATATGTATAATAAATGGCCCTTATGGCGCACAATAATAATATTATAATTAAATAATCGGCTATTTGAGCCAGCAAAAAACAATTTGTAAAAAAGAAACAACACTTTAGGTGCTGATTTGGTAGAAAAAATATAATATTGTGGTACAAAAATGCGTGCGTCGATACTGCTGCGAGAACGTTCGGTACGAGACAGAAAATCACGGCGGCCGTGCTAATTAATATTCGCCTAGACGGCGCGGCGGCGTGCGATAACATGTAATCTACATATTATATAACTCACAAGACACATTTAACGATAATAATAATAAAACAATACAAATAGTGATATGTGAGTGTGTGTGTGTGTGTGTCCAGCTGTTCCCCGGTGACCGATGTCCTATGTTCTCATTTTTGATTAGGTAGGTACTTTATTGCTTCGTAACGCCTTTATGTTGCGGCGGCAACAGTATATAAAAAGCTACTGACCAATGACATTGGTTTTCCAGTCAAACGCATAGTTTGCATTATTAACATATTGCACAAAGTACTCTCTGACATCTTTAGCATTGGTTGGAGAGTTTCCCACTCCCTTTCTTTCAGTTATGCTTTCCATAGAACTTTGGGTGCCTTCAGAGTTAAGCCCATCACGCCATCGCACAAAATTATGAAGTACACAACAGGCTTTTGTGATTTTAACCGCAGTTTCTGGTTCTACAAGCATGCTGGTCTGGAAAACCCTCCACTTTTTTGACATAATACCAAAAGAACATCCAATATACTGACGGGCTCTCGATAATCGGTAATTAAATATTCTTCTCTGGTCATTTAAACTTCTTCCTGGAAATGGCCTTAATAAATTGTTATGCAAAGCAAATGCTTCACCAGCCACTAACACAAATGGTTGTGGTACGCCAAGATTGTCATTTGGTAAGCATTGATTAGCTGGAAAGTTTGTTCCGTTCATGTACAGTTTTTTCCCAAACGCAGATGTTTTGAAGACATTGCAGTCACTCTCCCTTCCGTAAGAACCCACATAAATTACTCTAAAGCAGTAATTAGAGTCGCAAACAGCCATGAGAATCAACGGAAAAAAATGCTTGTAATTGTAATACAACGATCCACTATTTTTCGGGCACTTGAGTCGTATATGTTTAGTGTTTACCATCCACCTATAATCAAAATATGTAAACTTAAATATAAACAATTATTTTTAAAACAACTTTTATCTAAACGACTTAAACAGGCACAACTAGGACCACATTTTTTTTGTAATAGTAAAACAAACAATAGTAGAACATTTTTATGTTTTACTTATTTGATTAACTATTTATACAAATATTAAAAACGTTAATATTTAGACGTTTTAAATTAAATTAAATATTATAACATCACTCTTGAAAACCCCTAACTATTATAGTAATACATTTTTGTACATTTTTATTTAATATTTTTTGCCATTTAATACTAGCATTAAGATTTATTTTTTAATTATCATGAGGGGCGAGCATGAAATACTTTAATCATACTATAATTGATTATTTATTTTGAGAAAATATTTTTTTGTCACCCAGTGAACATTCCTTAAAAAATACACTGCCTACAAGTTGATATTGTTACTTCGGTTAAAAATCGGGAACTCGATTCTGCTGTTGGGGTGGAGTGCATCACGGCCATAGAGTAGGCCGCTGTAATGAATGTGTCAAACCTTAGGTATAAATACTTTATATTTTATGAATTTTCAACTGCAAAATAACATCAAACTTTCGCGATTTGAACATATTTTGTAAAAATTTGAACTTTCTACGCTTATAAAAAAATTGTTTCTTACAACTTTTGTTTTTCTTAAATGGTAACCATTTGATAACTACTGAACATTTTTACTTTTGACCCTCCAAAGTACAAATAATATACAGTTATCTTTCTAACCGAAACCCGAACTTTTAATGCTCTAAAACGTGATGAAAGACACAAAAAAAACACACATCATCATTCATCGTATTATCATTATCAATACATTCATCACTCCGTTCAGAATCTAAAATATAAAGTTATCGTCAAACGGATAAACTCACTGCGCCAACAGTATTTGAAAATTGCGTTTTTTCAAAAAAACTTTTTGCGACATCTTTCCAGTCGTCTGTTGTCGGTTCTACCTTCCTTAGGTTGTAAAACTTCCCATAAAACTTCACAAGTTTCCCGCACAATCATGGCTATAGTAAAGACTCCCCCAAAAATTCAAAATGCAGGAATGAGAAATGCGTTCCAGTTGCTAAATATATAAAAAATAATGAAGACTTAAATGATTATATCACGAATTTTAAATGTTAGTAAAATAGTTAATTACATTGTATATTATACATCTTATAAAATATTTTTAATCGTAGTAAATAGTTATGTTAATATTTCACCGTCCTATTGTACTATTTAGTATTTACTTACCTTAAAGTTATGGTTAGTCGTTCTTCTTCTGATATTAGATTACGCATATTAGTAACTTGTTTTGCGAGATAAGGCCTAACAAATGAAATCTAAAAAATATATTTATAAATTATATAAAAAGTATATTACAAAGATAAATTTTAATATTTTTAACATTAAACTAAACAAGTACTAATGTAGTATGTATATAATATATTGTACATGTATAACATTGTTAATTGAATATTTATTTCTTCTCTTACTAATTCATCGAATGTTGTAATAGACATCCTATAGTACTTAATAAATTCTTCTAAATGAGCTCTCAATGACATAAAATTTATTTGAAATTGTCCTTCTTGCGGCCTCTTTGGGTTCATTGAATGCACTCAATAGCGCCTATTGTCGCTTCTCCGGTTTTTTTCTCGCTTGATGGCGCTTATAAAAAGCGTAAGCTATGGCTACGGCTTCAACGTCGTCGAACTCCATAGTTAAATTTAAAATTTAAGTACACTATTCACTTTTAATTTAGTAAAATTTGTTAAGTGTTACCTCAACCACGTTTTCGGAACAAATGATTCGCTCAAATTTGTATAAACTATTATTTTGACTTTTTAGTTAAGTTAAGCGACAATAAATTGGGTATGAGAAATTAGTGTTAACGCGATTTAAACGTGTAAAGGTACGGCCCCACTGAACGCGATTTGCGATTTTGCGTTTTGCGATTGCGTTTTGCGTTTTTACGATTTTATCAAAACTATAGAATAACTATGACATGGCCACACTGTCAGCGTTTCGCGTTTTGCGTTTTACGATATATAGCTTTTAACGCAGATAAATCAAAATAGTTTGTTTTCATGCGATTAATCGTTCTTGAAAAGTCCACGATGTCGGTTGATTCAGAAAAATTAGCTGCTGCAGTTTTTTTAAAAGAACCAATTTGGAACCCTCGCCATGCTGGTCATAGAAGTAGGACCATTATTCAACAGTGTTGGTCTGATTTAAGCAAAGAGATGATTGTAGATGGTAAGTAGGTACAATACAGGTTATATTACAAAAATAAATACAAAATATAAATTAGGTATCCAAGTTCACTTTATTTTAATATTTTACATATTACGTATATTGGCATATAGCTTTATTTATTAAACACTTAAAAGTATTAAGAAATAAGAATTAAGTATAAGTTATATAAACTTATTATAAGGAATAAATAATTAAATAATATTATAATAAGCAATATTGCGAACTTTATAAAAAGTATAGGTACATCGTACAATCGTACATCAGTCATTAGGTACCTATTGGTATTACAATATAATATTATTCTGATACTTATAATATCTTATTGAACATTTACAACCATATACATTGATTATAAATAAAAATTATTAAAAATTACTCGATAGAATATTATAGATAACCGATTGGGAAATTACATTTGAATCAATTGAATAAGCTTACCATATGTTATTATTCTATTTTTAATAATAAAGTCGAAATCTAATATACGAGCAGCTACTTATAAATTATAATGTACACAAATACAAAATATAAATAATCCAGACCTACGGTTTAAATGAAAATAATAATTATTCCTGTTTATATTTGGTTTTAAAATAGTAATACGATTTGATTGAAATTTAAAATTGAAGAACAATTATTACATCGTCGCAGTATATAAGTATATTTCACTATAGGAAAATAAGTTTAATAACGAAATAAAGTTTTAAAAAAAATGAACAAAATATATAATAATATACCTAGGTAAGTCCCTATCCTATAGGTATTAAACGTTTTAAAATTTAAAAAATAAATTGATACCTGTGACAAAAGTCAAATAAATATTTTAAAAATGTAATACCTATTTCTATATGATATTATCAAAGTTACATTATCTACCTATACTGTTAAATATAGTCCATTTGCCAAGGAACTGAACCATACTCACTAATAAAATAGTCTAATAGTCGGCGAATATTTCTCTAGTGTCTCTGGCATCTGTACTAAATCTATTATTTCTTCTGCCGTCAGAGATATTAGCAATTTTTTCTTCAGATAAACTTTGAATAATATTTTGTATTGGTTGCTTATTATGCGTTAATACTACATTGTGCAATATGCATACTGCTCTTGTAATTATAATAGCATTTTCAATATTAGTTTCGATGGCTTTATTTAATATTCTCCACTTCGAGGATAGAATCCCAAAAGTATTTTCAACTGTGCGCCTTGCCCGAGAAAGTCTGTAATTAAATACTTTTTTTTAATTATTATTTATGAGTTGTTTGCCAGGATATGGTCGTAATATATTAACTAATAATGGAAATGCTTCATCGCCTATGAATGTGTATGGAACTTTGATGATGGTATTTGGAAGTTCTGCATTATTAGGAATATTCAGTTCTTTATTTTGAAGTTTTTTGAAAAATTCTGAATTTTTTAAAACTCCGCCGTCGCTTTCCCTGCCATACGCACCAATGTCAACCATCACAAATTTGTAATTTGCATCAGAAACAGCAAGTAGATGTATAGAAAAAAAATGCTTGTAATTGTAATACATTGAACCCGAATTGTGTGGCTGATTAATCCTTATATGTTTTCCATCGATGCTTCCGAGGCAATTCGGAAAATTCCAATTTTTATAAAAATCTTCGGAATTTGATTTCCACATATCAACTGTAGGTTCCGGCAAATAAGTAGGTAATAATTTATCCCAAATAGCACTACATGTCTTTACTACAATTTTTGAAATAGTAGTTTTTCCCATTCTAAAGGTGAAAGCTAAGCTTCTAAAACTACAACCAGTAGCCAAAAATCTAAAACATACATTTAAAGGTTAATAGGTTTTGAACTTAAACTAGTTGAACTGATATTATTGCAATTGAAATAATTTGTTTTAAAATTAGACATTAGTAACGTAGTTTGAATTAATGTCATTTTTAAATAAAATATTTGTGATTGACTATGCATTAGCCATTATTTACCTATTTTCTATATATAACTTTAGACAGTACATTAGTATTTTTAAAAACTAAATAAATATTTCTAGCGGAAACACTGAAAGCAAAATGGAAAAATATGAGGGACTATTATCGCGCTGAATTAAAAAAACATCCTTTAGGAAAATCGGGAGCTGGAGCTGAGGATGTTAGTAATTCTACGTGGCCGTTATTTAAATGTTTGTCATATTTACGAAATACAATGCAAACAAGAACTCGTTCCACAAACATTACATCGAATTTCAACTCGTCAGAAGAAGTAGACATTGAATCAAATTCATCGCATGCATATGATGTGTGCCAGACTCAAGATAATGATAATTTTACACAATATAGTTCGAATATTATTGATGCCGATCTAGATAATACAGACTCCGATGTAAGTCCTGCAGGTGGATTAAAAAGAAGAAACTACGATGTACCACATAGACAGACGGCAGTAAATAATTTTAGACGGGAATTATTAAATATGGAAGCTAAAAAACTTAAACTTTTAGAAAACGAAGAAAAAGAAGATGAGGATTTGTTATTTTTAAAAAGTTTATTGCCTGATCTAAAAAAATTATCGCAAACACAGAAAATGAGGACAAAAATTAAATTTCAAGAGATTTTACTTCAAGAAACTTTAAATATATTACAATCAACACCAACGACAAATCAAACAACCGTGGTCAGCAGTTTTCCATATAGTGCCCAATGGCAAATAAATAATGAGGGAACACAAACTTTCGAAACTAATTTTTCTTAAAGTTTTTTTTTAATGTTGATTATTTAAGTAATTTTATAGCAAGCCGCTAATGAATTGTTTTTTTTTTTTTTTTTTTTTTTTAATATTGATTTTTAAAAATATTTAAGTTTTTGTTATTGCAAGACGCTACACCTAGACCTAGTATTTAATTTAATATGATTATAACTTTTTAAAGTCAATTTTATTGAAGATAATTAATTGTTTTTTTCATTTATTATACTATTACATATTTGATACCTATTAGGTATATTGTTATTACATTTGTAATCAGCTGTCATAATTTAATATTATGTTTATATTTTTTTTATGTGGCCTACATTTAATATTAATTTACTTATTGTTTTAATATATGACCAAGTTGGTTTTGAACATGTTTTGATACTTGTTTTAATTATTTAGAATTATAAGTAAAAAAAATGTAGGTTTTAATTTGATATTTACTTACCTCAGAGTAACTTAAAGCCTCTCTTCTGATGATATAGGCTTTCGAAAATTTGTTTCTGATTTCTGTATAGTATCTTTAATAGCATCAAGAACTATGTTGAAAGTTTCTTCATCCATACGGCAGTACTCAAAAAACTTGTCTGGATGCTTTTTTAGTTTAGAAAAAAGAGTATGATATTCACCTTCTTTTTCTCTTTTTGTATTTAATTCATGTACCCATAAACGTTCTTTAAACATTTCAACTTTTGCTTCTATTGAAGCAGAACTTTCGGACAAAAGTATTTTACGCACGCGGTTTGAATTGAACGAAGTCATCTTGGCGATTAAAACCATTCGCCACAAAACAATAAAAACGCGGGACTGGCCCCACCAAAATCGTAAAAATCGCTGAAAAATATCGCTCGCATAAACGCTCGCATCGCAAATCGCGTTCAGTGGGGCCGTACCTTAAGCTATGGTTTCCTAGAAAAGCGGTGCCGTTATCTAGCGGCCGTAATATAGCGTTGGGTGACGTCATCTATAGGTTTTCTATAAATAACATCGGAGTAGGTTTCCTAGAGTACGTTGAGTGTCACCGTAACGTCAAATAGCGGTGCTGTCATTTGCATGACGGCCGTCAAAGCGGTGATAAACAGTAGTTCAACGATTTTCGCGTGTAGCGGTGTGCATATTTAATTAATACAATGAGTGGAAACGTGATTTGGACGAGCGAAAATGACGAACAATTAATTGATTTTGACAAAAATCATGAAGCTTTGTACAATATCAAATCCAAAGAGTATAGACAAGCCCAGATGAAGCAAAATTTGTGGAACGAAATTGGAATAACACTTCAAAAATCAGGTGTGTATAGTACTAAAATGCAGTAAAGTGAAAAATTCAATAAATATTAACTAATTTAATATAAAACACTTTTTCAAGCTTAAATTTAATTTATTCAACATTATTTTAAATAAAGTTTAGAATAGTAATATGTTATTTTTTGTTATCGTTTACGTGTTGTCACAGATACTATTTTAATATAAGAATAATGAATATATTAATTATTAATATACAAGAGATGCTTTAAAGTAAAAGTAATTACCACAATAAATATATTATATAATAATCACAATTAATGTCGCATTGCATAACTATGCTGCCACTCTACAGCCCCTGGACCGTTGAAATAATTTTTGAATATTTCTCGAATTTGAGTGTGATTCATTTTGGCACGCACATTGTGTTCTGTTATGGGGATTAAATTTTCAGTTGGAAGTGGTAGTGCATCATCAAAATGTTTTTGACCTGGAGCAAGTACTTTTGCTCCCCGTAAAATATTATATAATATGCATGCACATATAATCAATTTGTCTGTAGTTTCTGGGGCAGTAGCAATAGGTAGGAAAAAGAGTCTGAAATAACCGCATAAAATTCCGAAAGTATTTTCAGTTGTTCTCCGAGCTCTAGATAGTCGATAATTATATACAGCTTTTGATGGATCATGTACAGATTGCTGTCTTGGATAAGGTTTCATTAGGTTTTCGTGCAGAGCAAAAGCTTCATCCCCTACAATGACATGGGGTACAACCGTATTTGTCCCGGGTATTTCTTTTGGTGCTGGTATATTGAATGTATTATTTTTTATCATTTTTCCTATTTGACTCTATAGGTAGATACCAGCGTCTCCTTCTCTACCATAGGAACCAATATAAACAGCAGTGAATTTACAATCCGCGTCAACGACTGCTAGCAAAACGATTGAATAGTACTCTTTATAGTTAAAATATAATGATCCACTTCGTTTGGGAGCCTTTATTCTTACATGTTTCCCATCTATCGCCCCGACACAGTTCGGGAAATTCCATTTTGAAAAAAATTGACTACTGTTTTGTCTTAGTTGATTTTCTGTAGGCGACGGTATAGTTAACTCAAACATCCTTTTAATAATGGCCACAGCAACTTCTCTTATTATAACACTTATCCAGGAATGACTGATTCGATATTGAAAAGCAAGTGACCGAAAAGATTCTCCTGTGGCCAAATGTCTGAAATAAGAAATCAAACTACAATTTATGTTTTAGGTTCTGACTGCAGTAAACGATGGGCCTACGTAAGGGAATATTATATTCGGCGTAAAGGTAAACCTGGTACTGGTTCAGGTGGAGAGGCAGCAAAGAATAGGTCTGTTCTCCTATCATTCTTAGATAGTCTTCCTTCATCACAAAGACTTAACACAATTACTAATGTTGTTAGAGATGAGGTTAGGTTTGACGAGAGTGAATTTATGGAAAACTCTCACGCTGAACTCGAAGAAAACATCCCCCAGATTGATGAAAGAGAAGAAAATATGACAATCATCAATAGTAACGAAGATAATAATAAAAAAATGGATGGTAAGAAAGACAACATTATGAGAGATAAAAAAAAGATAAAACTAACACACTCTGAAGAACGATTACAATTATTAAAACAAATAGCTGAACGAAACTCAACTCCTGCAAATGAATTGGACGAAATCGACCTTTTCTTTAACTCCATGGCAAAAATTGTAAAGAAACTTCCTCGGTATGAACAAGTGCAATTAAGAATGCAAATTTCGTCATTGGTCGGTAATGCTGAATTAAAAAGTATTTTAGGCGATTCAAGACAGACAAATTCATCAACAGGGCCAAGTTCAACAATCAGCTTCATAAACCCAGAAACGGTGCCATCTCCAGCAACAAGTGGAACGTCAAATTACCAAGGACAAATATATGACGAGTCATCAAGAGATGGAAGAGGTGTTTCAGAAAGTGTTCTCAGCCTAACAGAAAATGACCAATTTTTTTTACTTAATGACTAATCATTAAAACTTACAATAACATACTTTTAAAAATTAATTATGTTACTTCGCTTGTTATTTATACAAATAAAACGTTTCTTAAAAGTGGCTGTTATAATTTACTACGATATAATATTATAATATAAATATTTAGATTTATTATACTTAATTAAACATTTTATATAATATTGGCCGGTATAGTATTGGTATACCAGTATTACTAGCATTAGTGACAGATTGATAGGTATAATTTATAATAAAATATAATTCAGTGTAGGTACTTACCTCACAAGTATACATAACTTTTCTTCTGGACATATGGGCTTTTTGTGTCTATTATATGGTTTATAAGTTAAGTCATCTCTTATGTGATTCAATACATAGTCAAATAACACTGGTGTTAAGCGAAAGTATTGCCTAAATTTTTCGTCATTACACTGCAGATGGCGAAGCACTAAAATTTGAAATGCACCCTCAGTTTCACGATTTTTGAACATGACACTCTCCTCCAAACGATTGTCTTCGTCTTCTGATGACTCTTCATCATCCAAACATACCAATAATGCTATGTCCAAATCGTCCATTTTTCACCAGTGTACGATCTACTACTCTCGAGTGAGTACTGACTACTGAGTGACTACGATTGAATACGGTAACCCTACTCCCTAGGAAACCACAGGTTGGTCACCGTAAAGACGGCCGTAAAAAACAACCGTAAAATGACGGCCGCTAGATAACGGCACCGCTTTTCTAGGAAACCATAGCTTTAACGTAGCGCGTACGCGTTTTTATATTTGCCGCGATTTGAAAATCGCGAACGCGAGCGTTCGAATCGCTCCGTGTGTAACCACCTTTATAAATTATAATATGGCTACATCAAATTATGTCAGACTTTATTTTAAACTAATTACAAATGTTACTAAAGCAGTAAAACCCAATATGTGGGTTAATAACATGTCGATGTCAAGGACAAATAATACAATATACCTATGTAGAGATAAAAATATTATTTATGATTTTTGGTTTTGACATTTTCGATAGGAGATAATGTACCAATACAAATGAAACACATCAGTTTCAATTTTCAATCAAGTTGGAATTTTAAATTATCCACGAATCATTTGAGATAAGCTCGACAATAAAGAATAATGGATAACGAATAATTGAATGATGAACATAGGCGTGCGCAGAAATTTGTGGCAGGGTGGGCCAAAGCCAATAATGATTAAGATACTTGAATATTGAAGGAAGAAACAATAAAAATATTTCATACTTTAATTGAGCTACTCGTTATCACCTACTAATGAGGGTATAAAATATATTTTAAATATGTAATAATTCATATAATAAAAACAAATACATTTTTTTTTTTTAATTAAAAAAGAAATATATTAATTGTACAGTTTTAAAATTGAAATAAATAAATTTTTTTAATCTTTAATGATAATATGGTATTATGAAATTTTATAGTATAAATATTGCAGTTCATAACTCCATTCGTCTTTCAATTGGAGTTAAAGTTTTAAATGTTTCAATCACCTCATCGACATTGATATTGTACGCCAATTCTTGCTCGATGAACATTGTCAAAAGTCCGTCCAAACGTTCTTGCTTCATTGTACTGCGGAGCTTTGTTTTAACTATGCTAAGTTTTGAAAATGTTCTTTCGCAAGTACAACTTGTAACTGGAATAGCCATAAATATTTGCAAAGCTTTAAAAAAATTAAAATATATAGTTTCTCTTCCACTATAA